TCGAGTTCCCGGGCTTTCTGCAACGAAGGGTTAAGGGACTCGGTTTCACGAACACCGCGATACACCTCGCTTAGAAAGGGGACAAGAAACGGCCAGGTGACAGCGGATCGCTGACAGGAAGCCATCGTCGATCCACCAGAGGATCGAGACGTTTCACAGATCCTCGTTGATCTCGCGATAACAGATCTTGCCAAGGAATTCTTCCTTCTCCCTTTTTATCGACGATTCAGTTTTTCCACGGAGCCATGAAAAAGTTGCTACAGAGATACCGCTTTGCAAATTGCTTCGCTTATTTCGAACATTTTTATAGACCCGCAGATCTCTGCTGTAATTTCGTTTCCCTTTTTAGACGCTGGATGAAATTACAACGGTTACGGTGTGTTTTGCGTAATTAGTTCTTTTGTTGTACTTATGATAAAATCAGAAATAATAACGTAGAAAGTTAAACATTTAAATCATGAATATGCGGTGACAACTTTAAAAATGTTCAATAGTCTAAGTTAGGTAAAAAAATGATAGGGTAAAGATACATCAAGATGAATAATTATGAACTTAACCTCTAAATGCATGATGGCAACACTGCAATACTGCAACATACATTTTAATCTCCGACATGTCTCAGTGAAAATATGTATTGAAATCAGGTCTTATTTTGTAGGAATTTATTGATTATTATTTGTGTGACCTCTAAATGCATAATGACAACATTGCAATACTGCAACATACATTTTAATCTCCAACATGTCTCAGTGAAAATATGTATTGAAATCAGGTCTTATTTTGTAGGAATTTATTGGTTATTATTTGTGTGACCCGTTAATGATTATGTAGTTATTCCTTGAAGTGTGAACGAAGTGAAAGAGGGTTGCAAGGGGTATGTGTTCGTTGAAAAACGCATCATTGCTGAATGTTCGTTTAACATTCCCTCAGTCTTATGTTATTCTTGAATTATTAAAAACATGTTTCCTTTGAAAATTTAATTAAATGTCTAAATATTGTTCTGTTAATAAAAGTGCATTCAGTTAAAAGTTTCTGCAATTTTTCTCTCGTAAAAATGATTTAATAGTTAAACAGAAAATTGTATTTAGAAAATTTGTATTATAGAGAATTCAACTTCGATTGAAGGTTTGAGTGGTAAAAGAGTGGATACTGTTCTCTCTGGCTTTTCAAAAATACTCAACCATCAAGCTCCGCCACGTCGCATATTCCAGACTGTTTATTTCGCGCAATAAACATTTAAATGAAATATCAGCGATAATATACCGGAAACACGGGTTCATCGAACCCGATAAATGTCCTCTATCCAGCAACAAACGTTCGACCGGTATTTTTGGTAGTGGTCGAAGCAATTCACGAGGAAATTTACGAAGGTGGCGAGTTCTGAACGAAGATAATTGTGAATCTGCCGTTTGTTAGCCGTATTTCTCGTCGCTCTATTCCCAGCAGAATTTCGAAAGCTATAGCAATCGAGAGACGTGTGGCGTAGATCGAATATTAAATTTCGGCACGTAGAGAAGAGGGTTGCCTAGCCAAAACACCAAGGCGAAAATGTCGACGTTCGAATTAAAACAGGCGCCTGTCTGGTGTCTATGGTAATTCGTCAGACAGTGGACGCCATCGTTGTCTTGTCACCTGTTCCTTTTCTACCCGTTTCCCTGACACGTGTCTACGCTGCCGAAATTCCAGTTCGCGCCATTTAACCGCCGAATGACAACCGACCGTTCCATACTGGCGATAAAATGAACGATTTACGGTTTTCGATGAGCCGATCGTTTCGAGTCACTTTCGGTGTAAACATTCGAACAAAATCAAATTTTGCTCTCTTACGCTTTGATTTGATCACGTATTTGACATTCGTGTTTCAGTTTTTATGTCGATTTTCTATTATATAGGTGCTAAGTATATCTGACCCAATATTTAAGTAATCTCTTGATAGAGATTATCTTCATGACGCATTCGTGGTTTTATACTTTAGCTTTTGTTACGGTTTTAGGTTAGGTTGAGTTCAGAGATTCTTATATTTTAAAATTGAAGATACATTGACGGACAAAAGATAGTTTAATGTATTTTACCCTAGTGTACTCATTTGAGTATACTGCATTCACTTTCATAAACAGTACATGTAGTTTCATAAAACATGAAATGTCCACATGTGTCCCCAGTGCACTCATATGAATACAGTACTAAAATTTGTAGTATGAAGAGACGTATTATTATTTTTATTATAGTAAAAGGTGTCAGTTACTCCATAAATTTGTATTGAATTTCTGTACTAGTATCATTGCTTCTTCTTAAAAAAAAAATGCTTGTGGAAGCAAATAGGTTAAGCCACTTGCCTATATGAATATTTGTAACTTCTACGTCAGATATTTTATATCTTGATCATATTCGAGGTACCTTCCGCAACTTATACATTAATAAGATCTTCAAAATATATTCTTTCATTGAATTTTACATGATAAAACATTTCATGCAACAGGTATAATGAACAAGTTTAAAATCTACTATGCAGTCAAATTATAAAACAATGCCCTTCGATCTTCACTGTAAGACTTTCATCTAGGCTTTCATATTTCTTCAACTTCATTTGACAGACATACAGAAAATTGCAGTTCTGCTTTATAAAACTGTCAAATTATAAAACAATGCCCTTCGATCTTCACTGTAAGACATTCATCTTGGCTTTCATGTTTCTTCAACTTCATTTGACAGACATACAGAAAATTTCAGTCATGTTTTATAAAACTGTCGAATTATAAAACAATGCCCTTCGATCTTCACTGTAAGACTTTCATCTTGACTTTCATGTTTCATCAACTTCATTTGACAGATATACAGAAAATTGCAGTCCTGCTTTATAAAACTGTCTCTTTACATAATATGACTTTTTTGTATAATTCATTTTGAACATTTCTGTAGCTGTACTTCATCGTTTCAATTACGATTCGCAAAACTTGACTCGCGATCGGTTATCATAGTCGCAGCTTTGTCACCATGGTGAAATATCGTTCCTTTATCTTCACCGACGCGACGGAAGAGACCCGCAAGGAAATTTATGTCGTCGGAGATCGCGATGAAACGAAAGAACGCGTATCCGACGTTATCACAGTTTTCCATTATGTCCCTACGAGAAGTACCATAAACATGCCTTGAACGGGATACATTTGAAACTTTCCGTTGTCGCAGTTACTTTTCCGCGTTGCTGCCGCTGTCACGGAAATATTTTTATGAAATATTTTTGTCAGCGAGTAATAACCTTGTTTCTATCTGATAACGGGGAAAATATTAACGAGCTTTATCGTTGTAAACGAGTAATTAATCATCGTCATAAGTAATGGACGCCATGTAGGTTACGTACCGTGTCTTCCGGTATTTATACTTTTAATTTCAATTTTTCATATCGTATCTTTTTGAGGCTGTTCGGGTGGTGATTAGCTGCTAATTTGAAATGGCAAAGAAAATAAAATTATACTAGATAATCTTAGCAGATATTTCTTGGCAGATATTTTTTTTAGGGGGTTGATTAGACAATTTTTTTTTTTGATAAGGTTTGTTTGCTTTTTGTTGTAAAATCAGATTTGAGAATCCTTAGAGATTTTCCAACCCCAGAAAAGATTGATATTTTTGACACAAAGGATCAGTTAGATCAATGATAGCCAATTATGTCCTCGAGGGTGTATACGGACATGCAAGCGACGTGCACTCAGCCACTGTCCAGTACAATTCATCTTTGTTATATTGTCACAAGCAGGGCTGTTACACTTGCTAATATAAAAATATCTTTCACATAGTCCTTGATGTAACTTTGAAAATTTCCCCTTAATTTTATAAATTAAAAAATCCTCAATTTTCTAATTGAAAAATGTCCAAGTTCGTAAAGAAGAAAAGTGAGATGTAAAAGTGACATCCTCTAATCACAAAGTTTGTAAATGCTTTGTTTAACACGATGTGCCATTCGCTGATACAAAATGCAGTACCACGAAAGCTGAGGCAACATTATGTCCTTTGAAACCTTGCCTTCAACATTGTTAACACATAAATGAAACGCGTGGGGTGCTTTAAAGATAACATTATGAAAACTAGTGCAGACTTGGAAGGTATCAAAGGAACGCTATAGTGAAGTTATCCATCTTTTTATGAAAGATTAAACCTTCGATAAACGCTTTTAGAGGTGCACATATTAAAATTAACTTTGGGAGAATTCTAAAGGAAGCTCCTTGCATGAAAGTGGAGAAGGTATCAGTTTAGGTGGTGCATCGAGGAGAATGCAATCAAATATTATTTATAAGTTTATAGAAAAAAATATAATGTAGACTTGCAACTTGAGAATTATGTATATTTTCTGTTTTTAATTACTGATGGTTAAATTTATTTTCTGTGACGAATTAGTGAAATAAAACTTGTACTTTAATATTTATTTTGAACACAGCTGTAAATTACATATATTTTGTATTTTCAATTGCTGATCCATTAAATTTATTTTCTATGAAGAATCAATGAAATAAAACTTGTACCTTAATATTTATTTTGAACACAGCTGTAAATTACTTGTAAATTACATATATTTTGTATTTTCAATTGCTGATCCACTAAATTTATTTTTTACAACAAATTAGTGAAATAAAGCCTGTACCTTAATATTTATTCTGATCACAGTTTTAAATTACTTGTAAATTACATATATTTTCTATATTCAATTGCTAATCGATTAAATTTATTTTCTATAACAAATCAACAAAATAAAACTTCATGAATTATTATTTATTCTGACCAATATTCAGACAATCAATATTTATTTACACCTTCATGCCTGAATTTTTGCCCCCAATATAAAGTTCACAACTTCATTTGATTGTATCTAGTACGTCAAAGTCAGAGCCTCTTGAAAAATGCATGAAACAGTCCCCAAAGGGTTCTTCACCCTTGAGGTCAATAATTAGCCCGTGTGGACGGTGTCGAAAGTTCAGTATTAATAGTGTGTCTTGTTTTCTTAAACTCACCTCGTAAAAGTAGAAAGAGTCGATCTCATTCGTCGCGTTGACATCCGGCAAAGTGGTGTTGAAGAATTCCGGAAGGCAGCTCGAGCGGTTCTCCGTGAGGTTGCCATTTTCTATCTCGAACGTTTGATTCCGATCGATCCGTTCACCATTTCGTTCCGCGGACATGTCGTTCGCGTCCTATAACGACGTCTCTTCTGTTTCGCCGTTTCAAATTGTCACTGCCACGAAAAATTCATGGCTTCGAAAGCCGGCTAAGCGTCCGACGACTTCATCCTCTCCGCTCGGGCAATCTCTCGATTGATTCGCGAACAAACGATTCTCTGCGATGTTACACTTTCATTGATTGTGCCTCGGTCATTCTTCTCGAATCTGGACAAACAAGCACTTTTTGTTAACTTCGTAATTACTTAGAATCAAAAATATGAAACTTTTCAAAAAAACTATGGAAAGTATAAAACTTCTGAAGAAAAACTTTTGCGCGAATTTCAAGAATTGAAATTTAAAAAATTTGAAACTTGTTCCAATATTATTTTTAAAGAAGAAAATTTGCAGAAAAATGTTCCTTCTATTATTGAAAGTTTGTCAGAAATGGACAAACGATGCGGTGGGTCGAATAAATTGAAAAACCTAGTCGATAACAGTCATGATAACAGAATTTCGACAATGGAACAACCCCGCGTTAAAGATACCCGTGTCAATTTTCTTTCCCAATTTCCAGTGACATTTCCATGGAATCGACAAAGCAACCGAGCAGCTTCAGTGTGCGGTGATCCAGGTTTCAATCAGTTAATTCACGAAAGTATGCTTACAAAAGAAATGTCTTCCCCATTCGATTCGATGGATTTGTGTGTGAAAACAATGGAACAGGGTTGGAACGAACCTATTGAAGTCATGTGGGCTTAAAGCGTCGTGGTATATCGTGAATTCGGTTGTCAGCGTAAATTCAGTTGACATAATATGAAGAAGAGTTGTATACAATAAATGTTGTTAATATAATAATTAAATATACTTCAGGTAAATTCTGAAGAGAGAGAATGATGGTGAAAAGTCTTTGTTAATCTTTAATTAAGTTCAGATGATTTTGAATAATTTGGTTTCCAGATGCACATGTGTGGTCTATGTACACATATGTGTATCAGTGTCATATTCACTCATTGTTAGTTACTTTTAGTATAACTTTTCATTGATCACTACTTGTTTCATTGTATTTAAATTTACATGTTCATATCGTTCGTACACGTACACATATCGTTCAGCTTCAGTTCAGTATTACACTGTCGCTTTATTTGCAATCGATATTTGTGCTTTTCCAAATGTCACAGTAAGTTCATGGATCACATATGAAACAAATAACATTTCCAGATCGTACAAGCATCGTACATTAACGTAAAAAGCAGAGAAACATTTATGATCAATGTCATTGAAAAATCATGCAATCAAGCAGACAAATAATTACATACGACAAATGCATATGACATATGTCTGCATGTGACAATTAACTACACACGAATGATAGTAACGTAAAATCATGCAGCTGAGCGGATACTGATACAGATACGTGTAAATAGACCTTTGTTCCCATCAGATTGAACTGCAAAGACTTGTCCTCACTGAATCGTTACTGAGTCGACTTGCTACAGAATTGTAGATGAATTAAAGTTTAGCGAGCTCGATTAAGAAGATGGTAAATATACTGGTGTAGAAAGGGTCGCGACGTGACCGCTTGCAAATGCGATTCTGAAAAATCAGGACTCGAGGAAGAAGAACCTGTTCCGGCAGAAATAACGTTTTCGTGCTACGTGGGAGCATTTCGTTACACCGGTTACACGTACGCCGAGGATAATCTTTTTGCGGTACGCGTTGGACAGCAACGCTAGTGCTCGAAATCTGTTGAGCAAATAATAAAGAAAGCAACCTCTTCAAAGATACACCTACATACCTCTTTTTATATTCATCAACCATTTTTCTATTCACTCAAAATTTATGGGGACACCATTTTTAATATTGGCAATTCTTTTAGGATCTGTTTATACAATTCTTTATACCACAAAAAATCACTTCTCTTTCTAACCTGAAGGGATGAAGTGGCACAAGTACAATCTATAAATTAATTTGATTATAAAAATCTCTGAAATTGTAAGACCAGTAAATCATCTATGATTTGTAAGACCAGTATGCAGATTAAGGAAGCACAATCTAAAATACTCAACGATATTATTACCTGAATACAAGCCTATACAAACACTTTCTATGATATCATACTGTGTCTATTTACCTCGTATATCTAAGAAGCATCAAGTTATGGCACAGCTTCAAAAACAAACCTCGCAAAGAAAGCATCGGAAGTTTGGTTTACATCAGAATCCTTTTACAGCTAATTACGTTAGCATATTGAATTCAGTTCGAAAGAACCAAGATCGGTAAAAGTTCTGACAAAGTTATCATTATCCCCGGTGTAAAAAGTTTCCGCAAAAGTTCCGACGACGGAAGAAATAATATTCAGACCCGGCATGTTTTAAATTCTTTCATCATTTTCTCTTCATCATCTGGAAAATCTTTTCGCCTACGAGAGTAAGAAATTGACGTACGTAAATATACGCAGCGTTCGACTCGACGAGAGGCTAAATATTCGCGGCCGTTTTTCGAAGGAAACCAACGAACGGACGGCAGAGTAATATTCGTCGAATTTTTGGTCGTGTTTTTTATTAACAAACACCGGGGTTTTGACAACGTTTCCGGAAGTTTTGCCTATATTCTTTTTTACCGTGTTCGATTTTATTCACTCGATTTAAATAAAGGCACAGGCTTTTTGAAACCAATGCCGAATATTTTGCTCTCCCGGAAAATTTTTTTTTGTTTGTGTTCGCTCTTTTTGTTGAGCTTCGTTTATCTGCTCTGTGATAAATTATTAACGGAAAAATGATTTTGTTGGTGCGAATACGGTTTTCGGATTGAAGGCTTACAAAGTAGATAATTGTGGAATTATGTGTCATTAATAGGCGTCCATCTGTAGCTGTCCACGGTATTTCACTGCATATTTCAGCACAATACAAAATTGTTTTATTTTATTTAAAACAATTCGACAAAATTCATTTAAGAAGATTATAATTTCCCTCGCTAATCCACGTCATTTTTTAATTGCGTACTTAATGTTTCTTTCATGAAGGTTTGTAATAGAGTGTGCCAGAATCCGGAAGAACAAACTGAACGGAAATGTCAAAGGTTGCAGTGCTACTTTGATCTGCGCCATTTCATCAACGTTTTAACAAAAATAATCTCGATGTTATCAGGAAGTGTACAGAGCGTATGGACAATCCTGCAAAGCAAACAGTGAAAGCTTGTGCACAACTGAGCAAAAAACTGCGATGGCAAGATTATTCTCAAAAAGATGCTCCACGTTTGTGCTTTGACGATTAACGGAAAATATCATTAAAGCGCCGAGATTTGCAGAAATAAACATTTTTGCAATGAACGTTTTAATTGCAATTATGAAGCTGAAATTATTACATGCTGAGATATTTCCTTTCTTTTGATTTAATTAATTCTTTCGGTGGAAAAGAAGCAATTAATTTATCGTGTTGCGCGGAAAAGGTCAAGATTGAGAAAGGGCGTTGAAAATTTCATTTTGCTTTGAAAGCTCAGTTGAAATAGTGTTTTTTAATTACAACTGAAATGATATCCACACAAATATGTATAAAAGAAAATGGTTGTCAAGAAGCAATGTGTTGCTATAACTCCAAAAAACGAAGGGAGAATTGAAGGATTATAAACTGTTTTTTAAAACTAAAATTATTTATTAGTCCGCTAAAAAAGTGTATTGTCAGAGAAATATATTCTACCTTTGTTTGATCGAAAAATTGTTTCCGCACTGCACGAAGCGGAACAAAGTAACCAAAATTTCATTTGTTTTCTAAAAACGTGCCTGAAAGGTATGTATTAGTTTTTGGCCGATAAATTCGTTGGAAATCACAAAAAATTATTAACACGTAGCAAAAAAATCGCAATTGCAAGAATTTCGTATAAAGTTTAGAATTGAAAGCACGATAGAAATGATATTATGTCCACGTTTCCCCGATAAATACGTTGACTATCAGAAAACAGTCGCGTGGAACGTAGCCAACAGAAATCAATTAAAGCCACAATATTTTTTTTTTTAAGATTCAATACTGTTGCGATTGAAATTTTAATTATTATTTGGGAGCGAAATATTTTGTTTAAACTGTACTAAATAAATAAATAATATTGAATGAAATATTTTTCTGCTGGTTTGTTTCGTTGTATTTGATCTTGATAGTAAATGATCCTTGTGATGTATCCTTGTTAATTTAAATTTGTAATGTGGTTAATATTTGAACCCTATTTTGTACTTGAGCTATTGTAACATTAACGATATTTTTATAACAATGTACTTGTATTAAAAATTACTTAATTGCAGATGTTCCTACTCGTGGATAAAAATCAACTCGTTTCCTCTTAATTCCCTAATCTCAAGTCCCGATTTAACCCCGGTTCTCTATCAGAACATAAAAAGAAGCGAACGACTGTACTTTAATTACGAAGCAAACAGTGGTAAAAAGCTATTTTTACGGGTATTTTCAAAAGCCTTTAATTCGACTTCCATTCAATTAATTGGACTTTTCATCTACTATTAATAATAAAAAGAAGCGACAGATAGAAGAAGAAATATCAACAATAATTTCATACGAATGAATAAATATACGCCGCGGTTTATCACCTTCGTATCCTTGGGCCGCTTTTTAAGATGGGTTCATTTTTGATTATCCTTGTTAAGTCGCGAATCGCTGTGTCGACGTACAAAAGTCGCGGGAAAAGGAACGAAGTGCGAAAACAGGACGAGAACCAATCGTAAAGGAATCAGGATGAGAACGAGCGAGAACACACTTACTCGTACGACGCGCCGAACGCGACTGACGCGTCCGACCAATTCGCGCTAACTCTATAGCAAAATTTACGAATATCGCGCGCATGCGCGCTGACGCTCTGTGACGTAGGAGAGCGGCTGCGATCTGACAATGTTCCAAACTTATTCTACGCTAATTTCTACATCCATATACTTATAGACTAACACTTTACACTTATTTTTATGACATTAACTTAATCAACAAGTTTTGTTATTTCTGTTAGATCTAATCGAACATATGTGACTATAATCTCATTATATGTATAATATATTAATTTTAATTCACAAGGTGAACTGTTATTGACCGAGAGCTTTATTTAATCATTACTAACTATTAGTAACAGTGTGTGCTCTTCTGGAATCTATATTATTACGTACTGCAATGATTTTTTATACAAAAATTTGCAAATACATGCAATCGTCTATTACCTCATTGTATGTCATATATGTATATTCAAGTTTAAACAAAGTTCTTTTGAAAATTTGTGGATGAAGGCAGTGTATAAAGTCATGATAGAAATTAGGAACTATGCGACGTCATTATACTACAATTTAGAAATTCAAAAATATGTAAACTTGCTTTTTTTACAACAATCGAAAGCACAGCGTCGTGACATTAACAAAGTCATGATTTGTAACGTCGCCCGAAAACGCAGCTATCTCTAATAACGCTGTCAGTTTGAATTATAGACGACACGTACGGTACAGAGCATCCCTAAAGGTTGAAATTCCGCCAACGAAACTCGACGTTCAGAAAACCCGTGTTTTTCACTGCCGCGCCACGAAGGGCCATCCGTCAAGATCGCCCGCCTCCAGCTCCCGTTTCGAGAAGATCGATTCGAAAGAAGAATCATGCCGATAATAGCTACGGAAATACCGGTGTCAGGAAATTGTTATCCGTCCGACGCGATTATCGGACGGTGCGTGGTCGCATGACTCGTTAATGAGCGTGCATCGAATTACTCGCCCATTGCCCGCATTTCGCCGGCGATGAAACGCGAACGCGCCACCCTGAATTTCGTAACGCGTGTATCTCGAATGCATTCGAATGTCGGTGCTTATCGGAACGAGCGGAAGTGCGTTCACCCGTATTTCGGCGTGCACCATACAACAGTTACATCGGTGGACAATTGAAATTCTATGGGTAGCATGGGGCGTACGTGGTTCCTGCAACCACGTTTTGTTACTAGCTTAATGATGTATACTTTGCTATATTTATTCATAGAACCGGTATGTTGGCTAATCTTTTCATTAAGAGAAATTAGGAATCAATCACTATAACAAAATATAGGTGCATATAAGGTCATATGCACACATGTGTAATAAAACATATGTGTATCTCGTTTAAATTAATTCACTCGGCTTGTAACTTCTACCTAAAATTTGCATTGTCAATATTTTTAAAGTTACAAGCTTCCAGAGATAAATATTAAATATTTCAGAGAGATGTCTGATGAAGAATTTTCCTACATATGTGTCCACATCCACATGTCCACATCCACGTGTCCACATCCACATGTCCACGTATAAAATATATGAAGAGCCAATTCTCTTGTTAAATAAAGTTATACATTATTTAACGCACGTGTCCAATTCAATTAATTCTGAATACGATGATTTAGAGTGCAGTAGAAAAGAATAGGGAATCTGATTACACGTATGCAAATAGAAGTATGCGAGTATCCTGAGGTTGTTTCCTGTATCCTATACAATTTCTTCGATAGAAACAGCAACGTGAAATCAGGAAATTGTATTCGTTTCTAGGAAACGATGTTCAAGTGCCAAACGACAGGCCACGAGGATAAGGCTTTTCGCCGACCAGGCAAATTGGGACTGTTTGTTCCATTGTCGGGTGATTTACTCATCCTCTTCTGTGGACGAAAGCATTCATTGCCTCGTTACATGTATCATGGTGCACTTTCGAAAATATGCTTTTCCTGAAAAAGATGGATAACACTACTGTGTCGTATGAATATGTAGTTCGATCATGGAATGATTGATGACGTGACATCTACTCAGAGTTACACTTTAATTTTAAGTCTTTGGCTGTTTGGGTCTGTGTTCAACTATGTCTTAAGGTAATATAATTAGTTTGGATACTTTGGCAGAATTTTGTATTATATCAGAAGATCGGAGAGCTTCATACAGCGTTAAAATATAAGTTAGATACTTTACATCAAATTTATACAATAATGTTAATGTTATTATTGTTATTAATCTTAATGTTATTAGTCTTAATATAGTCTTCTCGCCATAATCTTTGCCGATTCCGATTCGATACCACGAAACAGAGGATTTCCCTTCTCGTCCACCATGTCTTCGTACTTTTGCTCTACCAGTGTTTCGAAACCGCATCGCTCAGCCAATTTCTGCGCGATCGGTGATGAAAATATTGTAGACGTCACTGGAATCTTGTATTCTCGACCTATGTCCACTCTATAAATATATTTAAGATTATAAGAGAACTAAATGTAATTACATATTTATCGATTTGGATACGTAGATCAACCTGGTACGAAGAAGATGGCCGCCTAGCGCAACCCCTCGATACTCAGGGTGCACGGAAAGTCCAAAAGCACCGATGTATCGATCTACTCCGTATTTCTCATACACTTGGGCTTTCTTGGTCAAGTCTATTGTTATGTCCCACATAAGTTTCGGTGATGGAGGCTGAAGAGTTACACGTGTTTGAGTTAAACGTGATGGTTTAACCTAACTGTTTAACATTACTTATTTAACCTAACCATCTAATATTACTAACATTAGTGAAGACGCTGACTACTTTTATAATACACTCTCGTTATATCGCATGCTATAGACTGTTACGAACATTCTTCATTCGTCAAAGAAGGAAGTTTTCTAAGACGTATTACTAACAAGATTTCCATCAATATTTCCATCTATGACAACATAATGAGAGTTTACTATGAAAGGGATAAAAAGAGCTCTCAGTAGACAGAGGTCTATCTCAAAGAGCCACTATTGTACTACAGTAAAAATCACCATAGATTCCGTAAAGACCATGTCGTCGTCTATGTGACAAAATTTTAGTACGTTAACAGCTGCCATTACTGGTTTACCGCCATCAGGATTCTCTGTGAACGCTCCGATGGCCAAACCGTGTTGCAGGTACTCTTTCCACTGATGTTGATAAGTATCTACAAGCTCTTTTCTATCTGGAAAGACATGTTCGGTTATGTTACATTTCATACATTTTTATAGATGCATTTCAATATACATGAATTTGTACATAATAATTATTTGATATATTTCTCGATGTTAGGATAAGTAAAATCATAATTGTATAAAGTGCAAATTGTAAACTGTTACAATTGCTGAAAAGATATTACTGCAACACGATCTTGAGAATATATAGTGTTACGAAACTATTGTTGACGTTTACCAGCCTTGTTGATAACGTCAATCAAACAGTTCGTTTCATCCATACTCTCTTGACAAGTAATCATGATCTGCTTTGATAGTTTGCTATATTCTCAAGTTTCATGTATTTAGGTGTCATTTCTTGCGACCTCCTCTCTATACTTATAGAGTAGATCCATGAAAAAATTACTTCTAAATTCGAAGAAGTCTGATATTACTTTTCAAACTCAGCAGCTGTCGATTTTTTATTCGCATCTTTTGCTAAGTCATTCTGCACAAACAACCGGAAACAGAGAAATATAAACTTAGGGTACTCTGTAATTCAGATTACTGAAGATTATAGATGACTAAATCTGTGTAGTAACCTTGACGTATCAAAGATGTTAAGCGATAAATATTTCAAACAATCTCATTAGAAAAATAATACGTGAAACTTGGAAAACAAAAATGAAATTTAATTTTACGTCAATAGATAAGTTCTATCAAATACCACAGATCGAGTAAAATAAAAGTAAGAACTTCAAGTATTTACACGGTGATAGAAATCTTATGTAAGTGTACAAATTATCTTTTACAGAAAGTTAAAAATATTTTTTTATTAGACTATCAAAAGTACTTGAAAAGTCGTGAAAATTGTTACGTGAACAATCTCATATTTTTATCATAGACCGAAATGAAAATAAAGTAACTTACTCAAGCATTTGCACATGGGTTCGTCAGCAACGAAATAGGTACACATGTGTTTAACCACGTCGTCGTACCTGTCCTCGGGTATATCTTGAATGGTAAACTTTATCGGTTTGTCTCCCTTGCCTTTGATGACAGCTTCCACGGTACTCCACACTTTTGGTGGCCCTGGAGGTTTTATTGGAAAGGAAATAGGTTTCGGCTTATCGGCACTCATTTCCGATTTGATGAAATACCAAGGAAATTAAACGAACACTAATTTTTGTTTTTGCTCTCCGCTATTTGTCGCTCTTGTCTCTCGTCTTCTGATTGAATGACTAGATGAATTGTGCAATGCAGTGGTTGTCTGACATAGCTTGCATAGTTTTCCTGCTGCAAGAACTGCTCCGCTTTCATAGCAGTGACAGTCAAACTCCGCTTGAGAAGATTAATAGATAAGACAAAACACCATTTTCTATTTACAACATTTATATCTAATTTACACATTCCTAAATGTATGACAAAATATTTTATTATACTCAGTAAGGTCAGAAAGCTTCATTGTACAAAGTTGGAATATAAGTTACATCAAACTTACACAAATGTTAATATAGTCTTCGCGCCATTACCTTCACCGATTTCGATTCGATTCCGGGAAACAGGGGATTTCCTTTCTCGTCCACCATGTCTTCGTACTTTTTCTCTATCAGTGTTTCGAAACCGCATCGTTCGGCCAGTTTCTGCGAAATCGGTGATGTGAACGCTGTGGACGTTAGCGGAATCTTGTACTCGCGCCCTATGTTTTCTCTGTAATGTAAATTTAATGTTATAAGAGATATAAATGTAATTAGAGGTTTATCGAGAAGACTTGAATACGTGTACCTGGCGCGAAGAAGATGGCCGCCTAGAGCAGCCCCTCGATACGAAGGGTGCACGGAGAGTCCAAAAGCACCGATGTATCGATCCACTCCGTATTTCTCAAACACTTCAGCTTTCTTACACAAATCTATTACTGCATCCAGTATGGATTTTGGCACTGGAGGCTGTAAATTATTTTTATGTATTTAATTGGGGGCCATTCTTTATCGTAGATACTCTAATCACTTCTACAATAGACTTTCTTTATGTCGCATCTTTGTCACTAATGTTAGTTCATTATTTATCAAAAAAGAGAGCTTTCTGACTAACTTCCAACCGTACTACTAAATTCTAGAACGTCTAACTTCTTTTTCATCGATACAGCTCTATTGATGGTAACGTAACGAAAGTCTATTATGCTTCAACTATGAAAGGGACATTAAAAAATACATTTTATCAATATTAGTAACATGTATTCCTTAGAAGGTAGGAATCTCCTTCGAATAGGTATATAAATATTGTGTGAGATATGAGTACAACAAAAATCACCATAGATTCCGCAAAGTCCGTCGAGTCGTCTACGTGACAAAATATTAGTACGTTAACGCCTGCCATTATTGGTTTCCCGCCATCGGGGTTCTCTGTAAACGCTCCGACAGCCAAACCATGATTCAGAACATCTTTCCATAGATGTTTAAAAGTGTCTGCAAGCTCTTGTGTATCTGGAAAGACGATACATTTTGTTGCATTTCATTTAATACTTCTACAGATGGATTTTAATATGTGTTACAGTAAAAACTGCATAACTGCAAGAAAATTGGGAACCAAGCTTTCGATGTATCGAAAGAGAGAGGTTTCAAGAAAGAAAATCAGCAAAAAGATATACGTTCGAACAATACTAATGAAACTTTCACCGATGTAATTGTGAGATTCTCCCAATTAAAATTTACTTATGTGTAAAGCGTTTCACATATACCAAACACATCACTCCAATAAACATCGCAAATTACGTCATGTTTGGTCTCATTTTAATCGGGAGAATCTCACAAGTATATACGTGAAAGTAACATTGAACAAAATTAGAAAATAAAATAGTTTTATTATTGTATTAGTATTGTCTCGCTGATATGGTATTTCGGATCGCATTACATACGCTGTTCGTCAAGCGTCAAGGTTCGTCAAGAGGGAACCTCTCGACTGGCGGGGATCACTTATAGCTATTCTGTCAATTCTTGCTGTAATACAGTTTTTACTGCATATATAATAATTTGAAATATTTCACTAGAATGAGTATGATCCTAAACACGACAATGACACTTAATGCATTAAGTGGTAGCGTGCTCGTGCATTAAAACCATAATTATATAAAGTGTTACAATTGCGCACGTGACATTCATTACTGCATGGCCTTACAAATACGTGGTGTGGCTTATATCGATGACCATTATCAAGGTTGTTTATATAGTGAATCAGGTGAACAGTTATCATACTGTCTTGATAAATGAAATTGTCCGCTATGACAGTTTTTTATATTTTCAATTTTAGCGTATGTAGGTGTGTTATATTTCACAACCTTCCCTTATATTCCCAAGTCTGTTATTATTTTTTTAGATAGACTAAGTATCGATTTTATTGTTCGCATCTTTGCTACGTCAACTTCTGTACAAATAACCGGAAACACGAGGGAAATATTGATACGTGGGGTACTCGGTTATACGTAGCTTAATAAAGAACAATTTATGCATTAAAATGTTCTCACCTACAGAACATACTTCTCTATTTCAATTTCAAATTGCGCGAGACACATTTTCATGCTTATAACTAAGTAGTGACCTCTAACTGAAAGAGAATAGTAACCTTGACCCAGCACTTCTCAGAAATGTGAAATCATGTGCGCCTTAAAATTAGACACTCATTTTAAACAATCTTTCGTTTATAAGAAAAATAATATTCAAAACTTGGAAAATGAAAATGAAATTAAATTTAAATATTGGTAGATAAATTCTATAAGTTCATGTCAGAAATCGAGTAGAATAAAAATGAAGTGACAAGAACTTTGAGTATTTACAACATGGTAGAAATTTTATATAAAAATAAGAGGAAGATACTAAACCTAATTAGCATTATATTCGTCATAAACCAAATAACAACAATAAAAACTTACTGTGACATTTGCACATGGGCTCATCAGGAATGAAATAAGTACACATGTGTTCAACCACCTCGTCGTACCTGTCCTCAGGTACTTCCTGAATAGTAAACTTTATCGGTTTGTCTCCTTTCCCTTTGATGACAGTTTCCACGGTGCTCCAAACCTTTGGCGGTCCTGGAGGTTTTATCGGAAACGAAACAGGCGGTTTCTTCTGCTTGTCAGCACTCATATTTCCGTTTTGATGACACGAGCAGTTGCAACGAAATGTCCAGAGCAATTAAACGGTCGAATGTGCAGCTTAATATATAATCTTGCTATTTCCCACTATTTGCCGCTGTTGCTCCTCTAAAGTCTTTTAACTGAATGACTGGATGAATTGTGTAATGCAGTGGTTGTCTGTTATCATTTATACTTGTTATCGTTATCCGCCACACGCACTATTCGCCGCTTCTCAATAGTGCAGAGCAGTGATAGTCAAACTTCCTCGTGATAGAAATGCACGAAATAATCTTGATACAATTAAACATTAACCTTCACATAAGAAGATAAATAAAAAATACAAAACTACATTTTCTATCGGTATACAACATTTGTACTATTAATTTATAAACAATCTAAAGAAATTTAGAAGAACCACAGTAGATATACGTATATTTTTCTTTATTGCAGAAAAATGCAAATTGCCCTTTCTTTTTAAATTACCATATTTCGCACTCTTGTTTGTTCGCTATTTTCAAGTTTTCCTTGTCATTATGACGCGACGTGCACAGTAAACAATTAGTGTAACAATAACTTTTGCATAACTAATTTACACCGATTGTTTGTCGTGTTAAGCAACTCGTAAAAGCAAAGAGACGAGCGTGCAGAAATTTCGTTTGAGGTATTTGTGTTGTCAGTCAATGTTAGTCACTATTTCATAGGAAACTGACTTCTATCCAGAAGAAACAGACAAGTTATCTTCGTCGTAGTTGCTTGTCACAACAGCGAACGAAAATCATTGTTTATATTTTACGATTTTCTGACTCGAAGCAGAATGTCAACGGAGTTAAAATTAATTCGTAAGGCGAAGAAAATATATCGAGTTGTCCTATTTAAATCGATCACCGGAAACGTAAACAATATTATAATATTCGTAATAGTTTTCGATGTTATGTTTCAGAGAAGATATTGAATTACAGGAAGGAAGGTCATATCTTGTACTCCAAGGACATTTCTGGGAAATTGTCATGTCAAGGTCATTCTTCCAGATTGAACTGGTAGCGACATCTATTTTAGATGAACTAACCTATTTTTTCTAAAAACAACAACTTCTATTCTTAAATTCTGTGTTAAAATATTAGAAAACAAAGTCGTTATTACAAAATGGATGTTTATTAATACATAATGTTACGTATTATTTACATTGAACAAACATTTGTACAAATAAAAATTCACCTATTGTATAAATTTATTTCTAGAAAATAAACAATTTTACAGTATATTTATTTTTCCACGAAATCGGTACTGAAGTCGTAGTCATCAGGAGCACTGATGTTGAATCCTTCAAATTTGCCCGCCAAACTTACTGCTAGTTTTTCTATAAAATTTAAATAATTTTTTATTACAATATACTTCAAAAGGTAATGTTGTGAATGCTTACCTCTTCTTGCTCTGTTCTTCTTCTCTTTTTTAAATTGCAATTTATTAAGTTTATTTAATTTTTGATTGCCTTCGATCTCAAAAATTGGGTCTACTTTCTTCTTCCTTGTTTCATTTCTGTTCTTTTTCATATTTTCTGTTTTCTTCTTTATCTTGTTCTGTATCTTGATTTGCTGTACAAGTGAAATAACACATGATTACTAAATTAAAAAAAGCTAGGTACACATAAGTTTAGGATCCGTGATTTAAGAATCTAACTTACTGTTTCTTTCTGCGCGTCAATTTCCATTACAGAGGTAACTGGCCCGGAGCTTTCGATTAACAACGGATCGACAAGTGGTTTGTCTTTAGATTCTTGTTCCAAATTATCAAGTATCATTTTTTCCTGTGTAATGACACTGTCAATATCAAATTCTTTACTCATCTGGCTGACAATTTCTGCAGATACATGACAAACCGATTGTTCAGGAGGAACAGTGTAGTACCTAAAGGAACAACACGGATTTATAATTATCTGATAAACAATAAAATATGATATTCTAAATACCTGATTTTTCCAGAATTCCAATCTTCCAAAACACTACGAGCTGCCGCTAACTTATCAGGTATACCTCCTCTCCTATACTTTCCCATTCTAGCAGCTTTCAAAGCAAAGAATTCGTCAGGCGTTGAAAATTCTGGTATATTATAAAGTTCCATTAATTGTGGCTTTGAAATTCTTTTTAAAATAGTAGATGCTGGTGTGTATGGATCTCTCAAAGATTGTATCTTTACTGCATTTTTCAGAGCCACTGACGCTTCATCGCCGTTTTCACCATAGTCTTTAGCAAAGACTATTCCTGGTGAATCTAGTAAATGTATTTTGGAATCCAGCTGTACTGCTTGCATAGCCTTTGTTACTCCTGAATATCAGAAATCACATGATATAAAATATGGAAAATATACATATACATATAAGTGAGAAAATAGTGCAATATAAAATACCTGGTGTACTTCCTACACTACAGGCTTTACGACGTTTCATAGAATTAATTATACTAGATTTTCCAACATTTGGAAGTCCAACAACTCCCACTCTAATACTAGTTTTAACATTTCCAGCATTTCTGCAGTAGTTTCCAAGTAACTCCATAAGTAATTCAGCACCAAAACAGGTACCACTTTGTATCATATCTTCTGACTTTTTTGCTAATTTCCTTCTACCTAACCTTTTTGCTTGATCTTGAGTTGAAGCCTTAAATGGAACAGTTGGAAAACTAGCACGCAAATATTTTAACCACTGATCTAAATTTTCTCTGGGTACTAAATCTGCCTTATTTAAAACAATTACTAATCTCTTGTTTCCCTTTGCAGACTGTACTGCTTCTTCAACCTACAATTCAAGTAAATTATTTTATATTGGTATTAATAATTATGGCATATTTGATAGTACCTCTTTACATCTGGTTCCTAAAGGATCTCTGGCATCAACAACTTCAAGAATAATGTCTGCAGTGTCTAATACTTTTTTGAATTCTTTGTAGTAAGCTTTTAATGAATTTTCTTTTTGTGCCACGGCCTCTTTTATTTTTTCATGTACATTATCTGTTTCCATTTCTGTGTGTTCAGCTTGTTTACGCTGTGCTGATGACACCAATCCTTCCAGACCTCCTTTAGCAAGCTCCTCTTTCTTCTTTTCACGAGCAGCTTCACGTAATTTTCGCTTTTCTTCCTCACGCTGTTTCCTCATATCCTCTACCTCTTTCAGTATATCCTCTTTGAAAGGGCATTGATTTGGAACTTCAATGACTTTTGGTTTATCTATAAAATTGAAAGAAACAGTTAATTTTCTTTTAGTATAAATACTATACAAGTGCCTTATATAAATATATAACTGCAGTATTTACTTTTTGGATGTTTTTTAGCTGCTTTTCTTAATTTTCGATTGTGTTCGCGAACTTTTTTTTCGATTTTATATCTTTTTCGAGCGGGCATACGCTTGCTCTGCTTTTCTACAATAAACATAACAATTAATAACAATTCAAAATGTAACCTTTTTTTTACATTATATAAATTAAATTAAAATGATATAATTTATAAACTTACTTAAACAGAACTTTGCCATTTTTCTTTGATTTTATTCACTAACTTAGACACTTAACTACACTAAAAATGATTATGCTATTGCAGTAACAAGAAACGTTTGAAGAAATATCACGTGTACACAACTGTACCGTGAGCAAAAGATAGGTTAGAATCAGTCTGGCGAATATAAGAAAAAAATGTACCGAAATATAGGAACAAATTATGTCCTGGAGCTAGTAACCTGAATAAGAGATCTCTAGTGGCGAAGCTGAGAAGCTCATCGTACAAGAAGGATAACAGAGATTGTGTTCGAACAGTTTGTGGCAAAGAAGAAATATTTTCTTATGTGTTCTTTTTCAAATTATTTAAAAAATTATACGGTATAGTATATAAATTAATTTTTTAAGTTGACTGTACAGAGAATATTTCGGAAAACTTGGAAATGCCAATTGAAAATGTAACTGCCAATTTAACTTAGAATTTCTCAGTTTTGCCGCTTGAGGTCCCTAATCCACTCTAAAACTAATACTAGTGTTTGAAAAATTAGGAACGAAATAAAGGAAACAGAGCTCTAAATCTGAATATAATAATTATAACTAAGTAAAAAGTAATTTAATATAATTGTAGACGTAATGATGTGATAAAAGAATTGGAACTACAGAAATGTTGGCATTTCTACAACGGTATGTAGAAACTTAGGTACCTTTCTGAGAAACTGAAATTTGTTGAAAGATAGTGAAAGGTATCTATGCTTGTATGCATATGAGAATTCTCACACTTTCATTCCGCGTAGCAAAAAGCGGTTGTTTAGCGGCGTAGAGACGAGATCGTGGCAGTAAGGTCGGATTGGAAATTCTCATAAATTATTTTGTCCCGTGAAATCGCTGTTTCGTACATTTTCATTGAACAAGTGATACAATTTCACCATTCTTATTCTCACGGTGTTACTTTCATGGCAATAACATTGTTCTTGTTTGGTGAACTAAACGTAGTACCATTCATGGTTTAAGCTGCCAGGCTTCTTAAGGAAATGTATAAATAGTTTTTCGAGTGAAACCGATCATTCATTCAACGAAGAAAAAAAAGATTTATTAATTTAGTGCCTTCCTTTTGAACACATTAATAGACAATTCAATATTGAAAGTGCATCAATGAATCTACCTTTAAGACATGTTCCAAAATTATTTACATTATGTATTTAAAAGAAAATACTTGAGTGCAAGGGCCTTTTAAGCACAGGGCACTGATCGATGACGGCACTGCATGTTATTCAATCCACGTGTTGCGTGTTCCATTCAAATTGAAATGTTCGCGGAAGGTAGTAATATTTAGCGTTTAATCGAAGAATCTTAAAGTATTGTAAAAATTACGATTCGAGAATAAATATTTTTAATCAATTTCAATTTGTCATCTCAGCTATCATTCAAAGCATATCTTATAAAATATTTATCTTTGCATTTAAAATTTTTATTTGTATCAGACGTGTGACTTATAGGTTATAATGATCATCTGAGCTTAATCTATCAAAGTTCAAAAGTTTAGACATTTTAAAGTCTCAAAGTTCCGAAATAAAATTCCGATATCATGACATCAATGCAGCGCCAAATTGAGGGTATTTGGCACTTCTAAGAGAATGAAGTTTTGGCGCCTCTATGTATACACATATATATGTATGTACATATGTATAGACACATGCGGGTTTTGATACTCAGTTGCAACTTTTTCAAAGCAACGTAAGCACGTTGTCCAACGAACTAACTGTTCAATCTTTTCAAATAAGGAAATCAAATGATTTTCAATTGTTTAGATTCGCCTTATGCTAAAATCAGCCCTGTGTGAATACAATTCCAAAAAAGCTACTGTTTTTTATGATAATTTTTCAATTATTCCGACGCTTTAATAACATAGGGTTGAAAGAGGCGCATTCGAGAGACGTGCCATCGCATTCGATTCATTAGCAAAGAAGCGCGGTGGTGGGGGTAAGTTCGGAGAGCCTCGGGTGCCGCCGACAGACGGCGTGCGGTGGAGCAGTTCATTTCTGTAATGGCCGCCGTCTGGCGTTGTCGGTGAATCGGTCTCATTCAGCATTCTCGCGAAACGAACTGCACAAAGTTATCGTTAACAAAACTTTGGTGCACGAGAATCCACGTGACGAGAAAGGTGTGGTGTTCGCTCGTGCATTGTGTACGGTGGTGAATCAGCGGTGAGTCCGCAACGGACGTTCCGTCGAGAAAATTCAAATCGGATGTGCACTGTGTCCTCACTGTTTACTCGACTCATCGACCGTACAGAGTGCGACAGATCGAAGAATCGTGTTCGTTAATAAAAGAAAATGCAATCGCGATCGCAGAATGCGATCGAATTTTGGAGATTGTTGTTGGAGAATCGGGGATAGCTTCGTCCGCAGACAGTAAACAAAAGTGACAGCGTGTGTAGTGGACGGGACACACGGTCATGCCTCCCGTCTCGAACGAGCCTGACGACGGTATTTGACGTGTGTTGTTCTTCGCGAGCCCGAATTCTCACTCACGTGGTTCAAGGTCTTCTAAAATCATCCTAACGTCACGCTGCCAACGAGCCCCAGAGAGTTTCACGCCACTTTCGCGATCGAATGTCCCTCGACTGTTGTCATTGACAGTAGTGCCACGCTTTTTCCCGGTTGATCGCCTGTGTTCTTTTATGTTCTGCAAGAACTTTGCTAGCGGGATTGGGGAGATAATAACCGAACACGGGCAAATATTGGATACGTCGTTTTCATTTGCGCAGGTACTTGTTTCGATTTTTTTAAAGAGATAAGGTGCATCGAACTTTCTATCGAGGGTTTCGGCTACTTCTTAAGCCTAATTGCGGGGATTCTCCAAATTTTATGGGCCGAGATCCATTAGCTCGTAATGTATTATTATACGGTTCATAAATTCCAATATTTTAATGGTTTAAAGTTCCTTTGAACGTATACTTTCGAAGGAAGGGGTTAAATGAAAAGCGTTGTTTTTCAAATGTCTCACGTGACTCATCTAAAAATCAGTTCGCGGTCTAGCAGTGGGTTGACTCCCACACTTTGGGAATCTTTGCTCTAATGAGAGGACCATTGAACTATGCCACGACAAACAAGCACTTTACCTTCTAGTAGCAACTTCACGATTGTTTCGCTTGTAGCCTAGTGTCAAGGCTATAGCGTTGTTTTATGTAATCCAATCATGGGTATCTTACTTCGTGTTTCAAGCTCCGACAAAGGTTCAACGAACTATTGTTTTGAGACAACAGTATTACTGGAGAACCAGGAAAAGTCACGACTGGCGTCTCCGATTTTTATCAAACTTTTCCGGCGAATTTAGATCGAAAATAAAATAACTCAAATGCGAGTTTTTGCCAGTATACATTCATTTCAAAAATATTTAACATTGAATTTTGTGATGTCTGAAAAATATAAATAAAACGTGTGAATGTCAGAAAAATAAAGGTTAACGATTTTTTCAAATAATGTGTACCGAAATAGCTGCTCGCATATGGTTCGGTTATTTGTGTTCTAGATTCATCAGAAATAGTTTGATGAAAATGAACAACCCTACAGCTGACTTCTTGGTAGCCGACTTTTTGCTACAGTGGCACTTTATCGACGTTGTAAACAGACGTTTGTGATATTCAGGCCACTCTTACAAAACTAGGCCACGTGATATTCAATCTCGAGGTTCGATAAAAAAAAGCATCGCGTTATAATTTCACCCTGTAAAAAAGCACGCCAGGCTGGCGCATCGCGTCGCCAATTAGACACAGTGGGTCTCGTAATTGCGGGTATGCAGTTTATCGTAAATTGCATTTCTCGCGTGTGAAAACGGTCATCTGCCGCGACCAGTGGAAGAAGTAGCGCTGCTTTGTAAATCAAATCAAAACTTGTAATGTATCACCGCTCTGCTACGTTCAGCCAACGTGCACACATGTATCCGCGTTATTTAACAAATCCGTCCGCATTCCCGGGCCCGACAACTTGGCATACGAGCAATGCCCGATACACGCTGCACGCGTGCCGCCAAAATTCCAAATATTTCTGTTATTATTAACGTTTGCGGCATGACACCTGCTTCGGATTTTTGCTATTGTGTCTCCCACACTCGTTGCATTTTCGTTGGTCAATTTCTTACAAACATTCAAAATTAGAAATTTTATAATTTAGGAATTTTGAACTTAATAAATTTTGGAAGGTGAAAGTTTAAAAATTCGAAGATTTTTAGATTTAAAAATTCAGGGATTTAAACATTTTTAGATTCAAAATTTTTCTTAGAAATTTAAGATACATATGGGGTGTCAATTGTTTACAGTAGTGTGACAAGCGCGGACGCAGGTGGTGCGTCGTGGGTTGAGTGTAGTAAGACACACATGTTGCGTCATCAGTTTTGTTCTAGAATAGTTAAGACGCATACGGTGTGTCATTTGATTATATCAGGTAAATCAGGTAGGACGCACACGGTGCGTCATATGTTTCAAAGCACAAAACACATTTGATATATTCCTTTCTATTAGAACAGTTAAGACGCACATGGTGTGTCATGTGATTGCGTTAGGTAAATAGGATATGACGCATATGGTGCGTCATAGATGTTTGTCAAATCACAAAACACACATTATGCGTCCATTTTTATTAGAACAATTAAGACGCACATGGTGTGTCATGTGAGTGCATCAGGTAGATGAGATATGACGCATATGGTCCGTCATAAATTTTCATCGAATCACAACTCGTACATGATGCATTCATTTCTTTAAGTACAATTAAGACGCACATGGTGTGTCATGTGATGCATCAGATAGACAGAATAGGACGCACATGGTGCGTCATATATTGTCGTGAAAGTATAAAATGTACAAGGGGTATTAATTTCTGTACGAACAATTAAGACGCACATGGTGTGTCATGTGATTGCTAGGTAGGCGGTACAGGACGCACACGGCGCGTCATTCAGGTCAGAACTTTCTTACAGATTTCTACGCGTAAATCGTATTCAAAGATTCCAGATCGTATTAATGCAATGTTCTCCGTATTAAAGAAAGCTACGATTCGTTTGCATGGGTATAATAAGAAAAAGTGGTAATAAAAAAATATTTAAAAGGAGTAAAAAAAATTTCTTCCATGTTATTTATGTTGAAAAAGTCATTGATACAGTTAATTCGAGGTTCCGTGAAAGAAATTTGATTTACGATTGTTTGTTCGAGACATCTGTAAATCACAGAGCGGTATTGTAACCTTTCTCTGTTAAAGAAGCCGTGATGCCAAATGAAATCGTTCATCCGTTGAAATGTGTTTTTGGAAAGTATCCAGAGATTGTTTTACTAATGGGTTGATTGCTTTAACACGTTGGCTGTCACGTTATTATCTGTCGAAGTTTTCAATTATAATTCTCTTTGTGACATATGCCGACTCTTTTCACGTGTAATACCAATATTTGATAAGATTTGATCAGATAAATTTGCAGAACGGAGATAACTTCTGTGACGGTTATACAATTTTCTAGGTATAATCGTAGCGTGATCAGTTTGTTCCGGTGATAAATTCTTTAAAAATTGATTTAAGGTTCATGCATCATACGGCGGAAGTTCGATATTTTCCTGCGCCAGGGGCTTGAGGGCGGAGCAGCGAACTTTAAAAATCAAACATAGCTTTGGGATAATAGTCTACAGATAACAAAGTTCTTGCGATAATTTGATTATCAATTTCCGTACATCTTGCAGATAAAATAGATTACTATCGCTTTATAAGTTGACAGACACTGAAAGCACTAGTTTATGTTATCCAGATTCTGTTGATTGTAGCACGTATCGGTCTCATTATTTTAATCAACGATTAAAGTCTTTTAGGAACTTTGCAGTCGACAAGGTATTAAATTATCGCCGCTAATTTTATGCAGTACAAAATTGTTAATGTCCAGAGAAAAAAATTTAGAGTATTCTATCGAATACCACTTTAGTTAAATGTGTGCAAGCTGTTTTATTAGAAATATCCTGTCCGCGGTAAAATTTTAACGTTCGATTCCAGAGCAACAGGTGTAAGTCTCCCTTGTGTAATGTTACACAGTCAAGTCTAAACGTGTTAAAAACGAAAATAGCTTTACAAGCGACACAAATTCTTGCATACCAACAGAAAAGTTTTATAAAATTTCTATAACATTGTAACTATAAAAAAAATCACACTTTCGCAAGAATTTCTTAGTTACAAAATAACAGCTAAATAATTGATAAGAAAGAACTTTTATGCTAGCCACAAGATCAGCAGTAAGATATCAAAGTTTACCTTCCTTGTTTTTCGACCCGATTGATGCATGTGGCAGCTGTATCTAATCGATCGATAATATTAAAAATGCGTGTAATGCAAGAAATACACAGTTCGCGTCGACCAATCATAATCGCACTTGCAGTACCGTACCAAAGTTCATCTTATGGCGAGTTTAGATCGAAACCGGTTCGAAGTCTAGAAATAGATCTCCCTGTAAAAAATAAGCGCTGATTACTAACGAACTCCATGTGCACAGATTTGTTCCAGGAAAGGCAAAATCACCAGGGTGTTCGAGGGAGGATCGAGAGAAGAGAGACGGAGAGAGATGTGCCAAGTTTCGTCGTTGCGGATGTTCCGTGTGCTTCCGAGGTTGATCGACGCCAGCCGTTTGCCGCACTGCGTCCCCTGCTAGGACCATGTCCTAGTCCGTCGTGATCTCGAAACCGTGATACCACTGCCAACCATAAGTCTCTTGGAAACGCGACCTTGAGATGCCGAGCTACCGTGTCGAGGTCGTAGCTCGTCGCCTCGCGAGTCTTCCGGATCGAGCATCGACGATCTCGTTCGTTTGAACGAGAAACGGTCGAGTCACGTTACGTCGCGTCACGTTACGTCCAGCGATAAGACTGATCAATTCGCGTGTAATGCAGGACGAGGAGGCGACGACCCTCCGTCCCGGTTCAACCCGCTCAATCTCCCGTTCGCAATAACGGCGAAAATGTTCGGCAAGGTGCCGCCGTCGAACACGCCAGGGCCACCTTGTAGCTGCGACTCGTCCAGCAAGTCCTGCGTCAGATCAACTGGCGCCACCACGTGTTTGCCGTGTTTCTCGGTGGACGAAACGTCGGCCATGCTGACGGAGGAGAAATCGAAAGCTTGGAGATCGAAGGACACCTGCGTCCACGTGGTCTCCGAGGCACCCTCCACGGGCTTGGAGGAGAAGCAGAAGATGTGGAGGTCGAAGGAGAACGTGGTCTTCGAGGCGCCCTGCATCATCGAGGACAAGTCGAAGAGCAAGAGGACAAAGGATGCCCCGTGTCCTCTGAACGAACTTTCCACTTTCGCGGAAGATAAATCAAGGTCGTCCTGGAGACTGAAGGAGAGCAGCACGGACGCGTCTCCCGCGGTCGAAGACAAGTCCAAGGCGAAGAGATGCAAGGAAACGTGTTCCGCGACCGACTGCGTCGACGACAAGAAGTCCTGGAGGTCTAAGGAGAGCATCGTGGAGAGCTCCGCCGAAGACAAGTCTAAGCCTCGCAGAGTCTCCAAGGACTCCGGTATCGCGGAGTCCTGTTGCGGTTCGCAAACCGTTCAGACGAATCTGACCCAGTCGTCGACCGTCGAGATCAACGGCAGATGTTGCAGAGCGGAATCGAGCATCGGTGCTAAGAACTCTTGTTCGAAGTACTCGAAGGAGGCTACCCATGGACGAAACCACGCGGGTCCGACAACGAAGTCGAACTCGGTCGTTCACAAGTGCTCATCTAACCCCAATTGCCCCAGCTTCGCGAAATCCCCGGGCTGTTCCGGTGCCAGCAAATCGCAAAGAGTGCTTTGTTCCGCCAGTCTGAGCAGCCTGAACGTTGACCCTGGCTCCAGGGAGTCCTCGAAGATCACCAAGAAGCTCTCTGGCCAGAGAGACTCGTTGACGGGCAAGGAGCAACACGTAACAGGTGGGAAGTGCATTGCCAGGGAGACTCCTCGGCAGGCTGCTTGTTTGGCGGGAAAATCTTCCAGCAGGTCTTCCGACGCGGTGTTTTCCGCTTCGAACGGCAAGAACAGAGCCGTTTCGGAGTCGAGCGACGAACCCGACTCCTCGATGGACTTCTCTGTGATCTCCGTGATTCAATCGACTGCGAACGAGTCTTGTTCCAAGTCGTCCGTGAAGTCTTACGGCGATAAGGACACGGTGGACTCGGCCACCGGTGGTAGCTGCAGAGATTTTACCACGTCCACGCCGGCTAAGGACTGGATGAAGAACAGTGGCGACGCGTTGCAGCAGAATTGCGTTTCCTGTCTGCCGCAACATCTACCGACCGAGTTACAGTTGTCTTCGCCGAAGAGCTACAGGGAACGAGAAAAGTGCCGTGATCCGTGGAGACCCACCGAAATGGAAAGCAATATTTGCAACCTGAACCCGTGTCCCAGTGATACGTATCAGGATACCGGTACCAAAAGGAGGACAGGTGCTTCCTGCCAGGCGTTGAGGCATGCCGTTGCGTCGTTGAATCGATTGGATGACTTTTATATGGAGAAGATTGGTGCTGGATTCTTTTCGGAAGTCTTTAAGGTAGGACCCCCCTTTTTTTCTTTACTTCTTGTCTATCGATAAAAATTGTCTTCTTTGTCTGACGATAAAGATTAAGGCTCGAAATGTAGACGTTCAAATAGAGGCTAGTATTCTGATATGTGCTGGCAATATTTGGATTGTGTCTGAAAGCATTTTATTTATTTTAAATAGTACACACTTAGTAAAACACTTGGACAATGTAAAGATCTATTATCTCTGTTTATATTGCATATGTAGCACATTGTAACTTTTTTATTAAACTGTTTAAAACGTGGAACAACTTTCTAGCGATTGAGTAAGTGTTTGTTTACTTAACGAATATTTTTTAAAAATAAAATGAACAATGTTTTATTACCGCGGTTTATTTGGAACGGTATTTTAATCCGCTCACGTTCAGGAATTTAAAGCCAGGATACGCACCGTAGTTCGATATGGTAATTAGTAGAAATGTTTTCTTCCTGATATAATAGCTTTTCACGTTTTTCCTACAGGCATTTTTGCTGTTTTAATACATTATTTATCGCGAGTATTAACCACGCAATATCCAGGCATCTTATCTTTTTAGATTAACATCAGAGAAGATTAGATACGAGTGCGTGCAGCTCGCTTCGCGTTCTCATGAAATTAATTCCAGCTGTAATCGTGTGATTACTCGCTGGTAACGAGCTAGGGTTTTTCTTCGTTGATTCTTCGCCCTATGAGCAGATTTCGTTTCTAATCCTCGAGTTACGTCCGTAAACTATTCTCCACTCTTAAAATGTGTTGATCGCACATTTCCATCAATTTTGTAACAAACTTTCACTTACTCATTCTTAACATTCCATCTATTATCGATAAGGAAGATAAATGGGTTTTATTCTCCTTTAACTTAGTGATAAATCGAAATTAAAAACGGGATTCCTTTTATCGACTTCCTCTTCTTGCAACACATTTCAGTTTTTAATTCTTTTATCCGAAGTTTCTGAAGATAAGATAATATCAAACCAATGTGCGTAACTTTTATTGTTTATGTTTCTAATTGTGTATAGTATTTTTGTTCTTTAATAGCAGTAAAAATAATTAAAATGTTCGTCATAAGCGTGTATAAAGGAGGATAAGCTTTTACTCCTCATCTTTTCAGAAGCAAAGTTTGAAAGTCTTTCACATATTTTAATGAATATAGAGATAACGATGATTCAATGCATAGGCCTCATAGCGATCCATAACATCAACCCAGCCAGATTTTTCTTTATGACTTATCGGCTCTTTGTTGATCTTTCATCGGTGTCATCGCAAGGTATCGAATCCCAGAATTTTGATAACACTACTATTTCTCATCTGTCAGGTGTGATATAAATAGGTCAACAGGAAATTGAGCGTACAGGTCATGGTGATTCGTGGCTCGAATGTGTCTAAAAATATATTCGCTATGATTGATAACGCTCTGAATGGCTTCGCGATGTGGATCGTAGGTCAGTTTTTTCTGAACCCTCCACACTGGTTTGTGCTCTACAATTAGGTATCAAGGCTGGAATACTCTAGACCTACATAAATTCCTAAATTTAAGTGTAAGATATGGAAATACTGGAAATGGGGGTATAGGATTGTTGAGGAATGAGGATATCGGGATCTGGAAATAGGAGGACCTAGATGTGGCACAATTTAGGAATATCGGGAAATAAGGACATGGGTATTTAGGGATATTCGAGGTTAAGAATATTGGGTTCTGAGGATATGGGAGAATAAAAATAGTGGGACGTAGAGGTGTCAGAAGTTAAGGATATGAAGACTTTGAGATATTGGATGATGTCTTAAAAATACTGCAAAGGGTTAATGTTGCTATGTCAGTTTATCTACCAACAGTGTATAAAGCAGTGAAGCAATGTGAAACTAGAGAGTAAATAGAGACTAGGGTATTTCTTAGGACTGCTTGAAAATGATGGCTAGAGGTCGCGTCCTATTGGATCTTAAAAATACTGCAAAGGGTTAATGTTGCTATGTCAGTTTATCTACCAACAGTGTATAAAGCAGTGAAGCAATGTGAAACTAGAGAGTAAATAGAGACTAGGGTATTTCTCAGGACCGCTTGAAAATGATGACTAGAGGTCGCGTCCTATTGGATCTTAAAAATACTGCAAAGAGTTAATGTTGCTATGTCACTTTATCCACCAACAGTGTATAAAGCAGTGAAGCAATGTGAAACTAGAGAGTAAATAGAGACTAGGGTATTTCTCAGGACCGCTTGAAATGATGGATAGAGGTCGCGTCCTTGGAAGATCGTTATGCGAGAATGGATGCGAGTTAATTTACGCGAAAGTTTCAGTCGAGTGAAAGTCACGAAAGTCGATCGAAGAAATCGCGAAAATTTCGAAGATGTTTAACACTTTATCGCATGGGTCGATGGATCCATTACGTTCACTTTTAATACCACTAATGAATGGTATATCCGTTTCTCTTTTTTATTCTTCGACTGCAGTTCTCGTTGTGTAACGACTGGTTTAATTGTATTTATCGTACTTTGATTTCGAGATGAATTCAATGATGTACGTAACGAGCGTTCAGCCATTATTTATGAATGATATTAACATCGTTGAAAAACTGTGAGTTTGATTTGTATCTTTCGATGGTAAATAAGGAACTCGGTTGCAAGATTTAATTAAGTTTGATGGAAAGTTTTGCGAGGAACAGTAATGAAATGAGTTGATAGAATTCGCTTCGCCAACTGCTAATTGACTATCAATTAGGATCCACGATAGGAAAGATATTCATTTCCGGAAGATTTGGATTCTTGGCAGCGACATGGAATCGTTCGTCTGGCTTACGTTTTGGTGTGGTACTTCCTTCGAAGAATCTATCATCCTGCTCGAGTATCGTGTGCATTGCCAAGCGTTAGAACAGTGTCTCTTTCAAATACTGTCGACCCATCGTTTGCAGAGTCAATTATGCGTACATTGTTGCACTCTACTAATAAGATGAATTTGATTTAGACACTTATTGATCGTCGTTGGCAGCCGAATGCTGATCTCGATGATAAGTTAATAGTAATTATCGTACATGTTTTAGAAGCTGCACATTTTAGAATATATATAACAGAAATCTGCGTTGTTATATATATATCGTTTAGGACATCAACTTACATCAAATTAGCGACGTGTCATAAAGAAATTTATCAAGAAGTTGTATCTAAAGATCAGATGTCATAAAGGAAGTTATATCTAAACGTATACGTGAATCATTAGATCTCTCTTTTAAGCCCTAGATATCGACATTGTATACAAAAAATACCATAATATAAATGCTCTGACATGAGTCAATTATGACAAAAGATAAAGATCGCTACACGTAATAATCAGTGTGATTAATGTTATTGTATATGAGTGTGCCTTGATCTATGATTTCTTCGGCAGGGGCGTCGGAGCTAAGCCTTGATGTAATATTAAAATAAGTTAGGAATTTGTTAATTATTTCATTTTATGTACATATTAGAATTCCCCAATTCCATAATTTGCAGTTTCCTAATTCCCCGATTCCGTAATATCCTAATTTCTGAATTTCCTAATTCCATAATTCCTTGATTTCACAATTCCCAATTTTCTAATTCCCGATTCCATAATTCACCAATTCCATAATTTTCTAGTTCCATAATTTCCCGATTCCCTAATTCTCCATTTCCGTGATTCCCCGGTTCCCTAATTCACCGATTTCATAATTCCCCGGTTCCCTCATTCCCCGATTCCATAATTCACCGATTCCATAATTCACCGATTCCATAATTTACCGATTCCATAATTCACCGATTCCATAATTCCCCGATTCCATAATTCACCGATTCCATAATTCCCCGGTTTCCTAATTCCTCGATTCCATAATTCCCCAGTTTCTTCATTCCCCGATTCCATAATTCACCGATTCCATAATTCCCCGGTTCCATAATTCACCGATTCCATAATTCACCGATTCCATAATTCACCGATTCCATAATTCACCGATTCCATAATTCCCCGGTTCCCTCATTCCCCGATTCCATAATTCCCCGGTTCCCTAATTCCCCGATTCCATAATTCCCCGGTTCCCTAATTCCCCGATTCCATAATTCCCCGGTTCCCTAATTCCCCGATTCCATAATTCCCCGGTTCCCTAATTCCCCGATTCCATAATTCCCCGGTTCCCTAATTCCCCGATTCCATAATTCCCCGGTTCCCTAATTCCCCGATTCCATAATTCCCCGGTTCCCTCATTCCCCGATTCCATAATTCCCCTATTCCATAATTCACCGATTCCATGATTCCCCGATTCCATAATTCCTCGATTCCATAATTCACCGATTCCATAATTTCTCGGTTTCCTCATTCTCCGGTTCCCTAATTCCCCAATTCCATAACTCCCCACTTCCAAAATCCCCCAATTCCCAAAGTCCCCAAAGTCTAAATCTGTACACACATATTAATTACTATAAATTCTTCAGCGACCCCTTCATTGTTCCACTGTACTCAAATACTCACTAATTCCAAAAATAAATGAAATACTCTACATGTTTGTCTCAGATAATTTTTATGGTTGCAATTGTAACAACCTTGACACTCGAATATCGGTTGTTTTACGAGGACATCACGTACAGAAAATACATCGGTCGATAAAGGCGAGGAAATAAAATACGCTTTACGAGGCATTCATGCAGTCGTTAAGATAATGAAAGTATCAAGTCGTTCCATAAGTTTATGCGTATTTTACTTCGTATTGTTACAATGTTGCAGTAATTTCAATTCCCAAGGACAATTTCCCACTTACGTCATACCACCACATTCAGGAAAATAAAATCATTCCACAGAATCCGAGTTGTTTACCGAGAATCAGATCAATTAGCATACGTGGCATTTAATAAAAGAAGAATACAGAGATTCACAACGGAATTATTTCGTAACAGCTCTTAATTACAAGTACAATTTTGCTAAATCATTAATGTTTGTTCAATCAAGGACTGTCAACTATGAGAGACAGGTTTCGCAAGCAGCGTTCGTGAA